CACCCACTGAGCTCCCATGAAATACCAGCTCCCCAGTTAAGCACTACATTCATATGCTGTCATTGCTCTCACTGAAACTCTGGAAGGTAGGTATTTTTTATCCCTATATTAAAACAAGTAAGTTAAGACTGGCTTACTGATCAGTCCTTCTATCATTTGACCCTTAGGAGGTGGGCAGGGTGATCTCTTTCTCTACAACATCCTGATGCTACTATCTTTTCTCATTTAGCACACTGTGTATGATTTCCTGTTTACTAGCCTGGGTCTCTAAGACTTGAGGACAGACACTGGCTAGTTTCAGAGTCTGGCACACAGTAGGTACTCAGCTAATGTTTGTTGAATGAAGATTGTGTGATGGAAGTAGCAGTGCTAACACAGGAAGACCAAGATATGGGGCAGTAAATTCCAGCTTTCCCATCTCCCATCCCTGCCATTACAAGCAGATGCGTCACATCATAGGGATTCCTGTAAGAGACAACCTACAGGTTACAGCAATCAGGGAAGGCTCCCTGGAGGAGTAGAGTTGGACGGATAGTTTGAAATTGGAAAGTTGCATGGTGAAGAGTCATTCCAGACATGAAAGTGGATTCTACAAAGTGGACATGTTCCCTAAGAGCCCCTGGGGACTCCAGATAGCCTCGTGCTTCTCCGCCCCTCCCTGCCCCAGCCTCTTCCACTTACCTACACATTGTCTCCTTGTATCTAACTAACCTCCCACTCACTGCTATTAAATTATTTCCCACCAAGGTTTACAGAGAGAAACCAGATGCTCAATTGCATGCCCATGCCAAGAGCAGGGTGACACAGTGTGCCCTCTTTGTGGATTTGTCCACTTGGAAAGTCCCTTCTAATAAAGGGCATCTTTTTTCAGTTCCCAGGAAGAAATAACCCATCATGCCCTTGTTATACTATTAAATAGGGAGAAAAACAAGACAAAACTCTTCCTGGATTTCTTTTTTCTAAAAGGATGGAAAAAAACGGATATGCACAACTGTGTTTTGTTTGCTTGTGTGATAGGGCAGTGATTCTATGGTGCCCTAACAATAGCTGGCTCTGGACAATGAGATGTGGGACTGTCACATTTTCCTGGTTTTCAGCTTTTGTATTTTTAAACAATGAGCATGCATTCGACTTACAGTTCAAAAATACATCCCTTGGGTGGGATTGCAGGATGCTTTCTGTTTATTTATGTTCTGCACCTCCCCAAAGTTCTACTATGAACATCTATTACTTTTATAACCACAAGGTTAAAAGTCCCTTTCCTCTCTAAATGTTACTCAAAAGGAAAGAAGTAGATTCCCGAGATAGCAGTTTGTGATGCTGGGGAAGGAGATCTAGGGAAAGCAGCAAAGATATTTGAAAGTCTCAGTCCCAGGAGATTCAGGTAAACCAGTTCAGCCCCAATTTGGCAAAACATCTTAAGAACTTTAAGTTTGCTCCAGGTCCCTTAACTTGGTAATCCTACCTTGAAGCCTCAGCCGAAAGAGTTACTTAAAACACAGCAAAACCTTCTACATGTAAAGAAGCTTACAGGGGCCTTGCAGTTAATGGGGTGAACTGGGATCCCCGAAAAGTCCGGCGGCAAATGTTAGGCAGCTGGTTCCAAGAATAAGTGTGACAGCTTTATGGAGACGTGGCCCTGGGCTTACAAGCTAACTTGAACTCTCCATTTCTCCTCCAGTCTGGAGGGACGTGCATGTTGACATGAATAACAACTAAGCCTCCCTTCTTTGTGGAAAAGTCAGATACCAGGTCTCCTGGCCAACTGCCTGCAATTTCATGTTGCTGGCACATTCATTGCAACCCTGGGGGTGGCAGCTGTCTGTACGTTTGCAGTGAGAGAACCAAGAAAGAAGGCATAGGCAGATCTCTGTAGAAATGATTCCCTAAGCGGGCCTCCATGGTGGCTACAGCGTTAAGTGTCCAGCCAGGGAGCTAACCCACATGACGCAGCAGACTTCTCCTGTCTCGCCTGCTGCTCCCCTCAGGAGTGTATTTCAGTAAATCCTCTGTTCTGCTCCCCGCTTCAACTTTGGTGAATCCTCTTACTCCCTGCATCTCTGGCCTGCACTCCAGTTCTTATATGCATAAATTAATAAATAATAAAGATTAATAAATCTTTTTTTTTTAAGATTTTATTTATTTATGGATACAGAACTGGGGTACAGGCCAGAGGTGCAGGGATGGCGAGAGGATTCACCACACACAGAGCAGGGAGCAGAACAGGCAGATAGACCAAGAACACCACCGAGGGGAGCAGCGGGCGGGCCAGGAGAGGTCTGCCACACCATATGGTCACCTCCGTGGCAGGCGGGGATCGAACCCATGAGGAAGTGGCCCCAGCCTCTTACTGTAGTGCTTTAACACGCTGCACCACCAGGGAGGGCCATAAATTAATAAATCTTAAAAAAAAAAAAAAAGACTCCAAGAGAGATGTTGAGGAGATTAAAGAGGCTGGGAGATTTCATAGTACAAAGTGGTCTGGGAACAGAAAGAATTTCTTTGGCTTGACTTCCATGGAAGCTTGTTACTAATCTGTGTTCCTGAACTAGGAAACCTGGACAATCTGGCTAAGGAATAGTTTCTTTTGATCAATAAATGATTAAATATAGTGGGGGGAAGAAACTAATGTGTGTGAAGAAACACAGAATGGACATTTACATGGTTTTAATTAGAGTCAGAGAGAAAGAAAGAAAAAGCAAGGATGAGAGAAAAGCAAAGGAACGAGGAAGAGAATGGAAAAGATAAAATCAGTTACTACTGTGCTTGGTGCATGGGACTATGGGGGATTTTTGGAAATGCCCCAACAATGCTAAAAGTTGTTTTGGTAGTAAATATGAACTACGCACAGGCTCTGTGGCTTTGGGTAACTAAATCTCTCTGAACCTCCATCTCTTCTTAACAAGATGAGATAATAAAGTACCTACTTCATAGAGTCTATCTGAAGATGAAAGGAGATAACCCATGTAAATTACTCTTTGGTGTGCTCAGTGCATAAAATCTCAGTGAATCTTGGCTCTTTGTGCCATGTTATCTCATCACTATTAGTACAAAAGGAGAAAGTTCCATAGGCTCTAGGTGGGAATGCAAATCTGCATAACCTTTTAGAAAGGCAGGAGAGTAACAGGCATAAAAATTTTTGACACAAAATACCTTTGCTTCAGGAATTTCACATCTGGAAATTCACCCTATGCAAATACTTTTAGTAAATAATCTGATATGTATACTAAGGTATAAAGGAGAATGTGCCTCTCAGCGTTATTTATAATAGAAAAAGTTTGAGACAATATACAGATCCAGCAGTCGTTATATAAACATGCACACAATAGAATATTCTGGAGTGATTGAAAATAATAACCTTATGATAAACTTTATATCAACATGTCTCTAAATCATGACATGAAAAGAAAATTACAGGACAATATAATCTCTTTTATAAGAAAGCATATACATCATATAAAAGTCTAGAAGTTTAAATACCAAATGTTACCAAGGATCATTCACTTTTTTTTTTTTTAAAGATTTATTTATTTATACAGAACGGGGTACAGGCCAGAGATGCAGAGGGTGAGAGGATTCACCAGAGACAGAGTGGGGAGCAGAGCAGACAGATCCACAAAGTACACTGCTGAGGAGAGCAGCGGGTGGGCCAGGAGAGGTCTGCCACACCATGTGGTCACCTCTGGGGGAGGAGGGAATCGAACTCATGCAAAAGTGGCTTTAGCTTCTCAGTGCTGTGCTTTAACCCGCTGTGCCACCAGGGAGGGCCGGATCATTCACTTTTTTAAAAATAAGATTTATTTATTCATACTTACAGAGCTGGGTACAGGCCAGATTTGTGGTGAATGAGAGGATTCACCAGAGACAGTGGGGAGCAGAACAGGCAGATTGACAAAGTACACTGCTGAGGGGGGCAGCAGGCGGGTCAGGAGAGGTCTGCTATGCCATGTGGGTCGCTCCCTGGCCGGGGATTGAACTTGTGATTCAGGGACTTCTGAGAGCTTGTTAATGCCACCAGGAAGAGCCTGGATCATTCACTTTACCCTGAGTTATTTGAAATTTTAATATATAGAATATATCATCAGAAAACCTCACAACTCTGAGGGTGTGTGTAGTTTTGTTAAATGGAGGTGTTTGTAGTTTTATAAGAAGTAAGACCCCTGACTGGAGTAAGGATTCCAAGAGTGGAGGCCGATGCCAGCAGCATGCAGCAAAGTTGTTTCATCTGTTTCAAAGCCACTTAGCCCCAGGTGTGTGGGTGAGCGATGGAGGAGAATTCTGCTTCCGGTGGGAACAATGGGGAGTCACTAACAGCTGACACTGGAAAGGAGACAGAGCTGAAGACAGGCCCACTGCATCTGAAGAGCAGATCCACTGAGACAGGCAGGAATAATGATGGAGGAGACCAAAGTGGATCTGGAGGACAAAGCAGGGACTGACGTCGGGGGTCTGAACCCCAGCTCCCCATCGTGAGGCTCTTGGTGAAATTCCTGTATGGTCTTTAGCGCACGATGGTACCTACTCTTCTGAGTTGGTCCCAGTCCTGCCGCTGAGCATTTTGTCTCTGGCTTGATCTCACGTCGTCTTGGGAAGGGTCTGGGTCTCATTCTTGTCTTCCTGTCTGCAGTTCATACACTCTGGTTGATGGATGAAGGTGATGGAGGGATGATGACAGCATGGTTGCAGCTCTGCTGGGAGGGAGGCAGGGCTGGCTGGAGGTGGGTGACCCCTCATCCTTTGAGGTCCCGGCCCTGGCCTTGCTGGCCTGGTGCTGGGATCAGAGCCAAGTCTCCTCCAGGGTGAACAACCTCAGGCTCTGCCCGCCTGGGTCCTGCCCAGATCATAAAACAGCAGTGCTTCCTCTTCAGGGGCAGAGGCAGAGTCGGGTGACTTGGGGGCTGAGCCTGAGCATCTGGGATGGTTTATAAGCTGGAGCACTAGACCTCTTAGCAACACAGCCGCCTTCCTCGCCTCTGCGCTCAGCCTGGGACTCCAGCAGCATGGCCTTCAATGGCAAGTACGAGGTGGAGAGTGACAAGAATTACGATGAGTTCATGAAACGCCTGGGTGAGTGATCCTTGACGATACCTCTGTGGGGCGCCGTTTGGGGCCAGGAACCCAAACTCTTGGGGTTACAGCAAGACAGGACTTCATTTATTCTCTCATTCACTCCCTCATTTGCTGAGCAACTAAGTACTCTGTGCAGGATCTGTGGATAATGAGAACCATAAGGTCCTAACTTGAAATAGATTATTTCCATTTTACTTATGGGAAACTTGAGGCCCGGAGAAGTTGAGTTACTAGTCCAAGGTCACACAGCTAGTCATTGGTGAAGTGGAGGCTTGATTGGTTTATTCATGCCAACAGTGATAGAAGACCTGCTCTATGCAAGGACTTGTCACTCCGTGTCACAGATGGGATGCCCCAGCGTGATATGCCCAAGGTCACACATCACTCAGTGGCAGAGTCACATCAGAGGTGACTAGAATCCAGGACCTGCCATGACAGATGAATGATGCCACTCCCTTGTGCTTGGGGAATGGTAACCAAGAGGTTAAGTGTAGGGACTAGGTTTCCATGCCAGTCATTCATTCAATCATTTAACAAACATGGCCACTTCCTGTGCCAGGCAGCAGGGGTCTTGTGCCTCCTACTGCTGCTCTGTTTGCAACACTGGTTGTGAGGAACCAGCAAGAGAGCACTTGGCAATCCTGCAGGAGTCTCGGTGCTCTGAGTCCCGGGGTACCTGCACCCACCCACTCACCTCCTCAGGGACAGAGAGCATGACCCAGTGCACTGGGGCCTTGCAGAGGCAAGGACATTTTTGGGGAGTGAGCGGCTCTGCAGGAACCTGACGTGGCCCCACTTGTCGCCTAGTGTAGCATTTGGAGTGGGCACCTCAGTTCTAGAGCTAGTTCTGCCTCCAGCCTCCATGACACACTGGGGAACACTTTTCTGCCCTGGGCCTTTGCTCCCTTTTTGGCAAAAATGAGAGTATTAAAAGGCAGGCTTGGAGGTTCTATTTGATCTAGAACTTGGCTCATTTCTGTTACATTTATGTTCCATTACTCCCAGAAGGGAAGGCAGCTATTGGTTATGGAGTGTTCGCTATGTGACGGGAGCTTTCCAAGGTCCAACTGAATCCTTGCAAGGACCCAGTCAAGTGGGCTTTATTCCCATTTGCAGAAGAGAACACTGAGGCTGGAGAAGCTCAAACTTGCCTGAGCCACATGGGCTCATGGTAGGACAGGGCTTGTGCTCATAACACGCAGGCTAACCTGCAGAGGGGGGAGACGAGGTCTTGCCCAAAACCACAGGCCGGAAGCAGCTTTTGCAAAGCCTCTCTGCTGTCCCTGGAACTAGGGCTCCCCAGAGATGCCATCGAAAAGGGCCGCAACTTCAAGATCATCACGGAGGTGCAGCAGGATGGTCAGAACTTCACCTGGTCCCAGCACTACCCCGGGGGTCACTCCATGGTCAACAAGTTCATTATCGGCAAGGAGTGTGACATGGAAACCATGGGGGGCAAGAAGTTCAAGGTAAAGGCTGCTGGTGCCCCACCTCCTTCCCCAGACCTCCTGCACCCATGTTGGAACTCCACCTCTCCTGTTAAGAACGTGAGCCCTTGGCAAGCCCCTGGGTTTAACGCTCCTGTCAACAGGAACGCTAGGCTTTGAAAATGCCCATTAACATCGACATCCCAGACACTTCACGGAATACTTCACACATCTTAAAGCCGGTGACTACCACCCCATTTTACAGACAGGGGTACTGGGCTGAGCCTAATCACCCTTCAGGATCAGGACCTCCCCTAGCTGGCCTTCATCCAGAAGCCCCTCTATTTTTTATGTCACCTAGAATAGCTCAGGCCCTAGGTTTGAAACTGCAGTCTTGGGGAGCACAGACATGACCACTGACCTTGTCTCCACCTTACCACATGGGTCCCTCTGGCCATTCACCCATCCTGGTCACCGGTAGCCTCCAACCAAGACCGTGAGGGGACTTTTCTCCTGTGCTAACAAGGTGGAGAATAAGTGGTCACAACTATGTTTGGCTATTCTTACACATGGGTATTAACTACATAGTGATCTCACACAGATGCTGCCTGTCTCCACACCCTGGGGCCTGCCTTACTGGGGCTGCACAGTCACACCCCTGCAGGACAACACATGAGCCTGGTGATAGTGATCATAACCAAGCCCCTAGTTCATGCTGGGAGTGCGCCCCTGAAAAAGCCTTGACTCCCCTGGGAGCTAACTGTAAGGAGAAGTTACAATCATGCCCAGTGCTATAGGCACGAGGTGCAGCAAGCTTGTGTGCTTTTGGGGTTACCACACTTTAGATTTGTGTGGCTGTATAGCTACGAGGAAGGTCATTCTCTAGGGGGTGGCTGAGGCCACAGGCCGCCCTTCATCCCTGCCGGGGCTGGAGGGTTCCTGGGGCTGACTCAGACTTAGGGTCACCTTCTCTTCCAGGCCACCGTGCAGATGGAGGGTGGGAAGGTGGTAGTGGATTTCCCCAACTACCACCAGACCTCAGAGATCGTGGATGGCAAGCTGGTGGAGGTGAGTGTTGCATTAGCTCCTGGGCCCTATGTGAAAAGCTGATAAAAGTTTGGACACATTTTTGCGTGAAATGTCAGCCAGTGGGTTCTGACTCCCAGAAGCAAAGCTCTCTAGCTGGTCAGGTGTGGGCTGAACACAGGGCAGGCCAACTGGAAACAAGTTTGTGCTATGCAGAATTGATATCGCCAAGCTGCGCAAACCTGTTTCCTGATTCCTGGAGGCTCCTGAAGAGGGGGGCTGTGTGGTGTCAGCTTTGCCCAGAACTTAGGGTCACCGCCACACACACACACACGCACATGCACACGCACATGCACACACACATACAAATGCACATGTAGCAGATCAGAAGCACAGAGGAACCATCTGGATCACAAGGCTCCCAACTCTAGAGGCCCAGAATCACCCCTGTCCTCAAGCAGCAGGGGTGTATGTATGAGCACCCTCTTCCTTGCCCAGCCCATCTCCAGCACCCCTTTTTCCTTGCCCCTCATCTTCCTCTAGACAAAACCTCCCTGCTTTGCTCTCTGTATTCCCGTCCCACCTGCCAACCGCACAGCACTCCCCACTGTCCCCCCTCTCACAGAGGGTCACTCACCTCCCACCCCCTTCTCCTGGACCTCCTGTTTTCCCCTTGGGTGTCAGGACCCACTGGTGACATTATACATCCTGTAGCACATCTTCATGACCTCAGGCTTGGGCACTGCACACAAAGGCCTTCACCCACCAGCATCCTCTCACATGCCTCTCCCATGGGACCTGCCTTCCCAAGGGCAGGGACCCTATCTCCCCACATCAAGCCCCAGTGCCCTGATAAAGCCACGGGCACAGAGGCTGAGGGTGGCCACTCCACTTAGTTGGGGTTTGTGACTTCTCTAAGCTTCAGTCTTCTCATCTGCACAACCATGCACACCTACTGTGTTGGGCTTCAACGAGATTGTGCAGGAGGTGCCTGTCTCGGGAGGGGAAAGGATAGAACTGGGGTTTATGCCATGACATGTTGGCACAGTGTCCCTATAGAGCCCTCACAGTGACTCGAGCCACAAACTGAGAAATCGAGGCCCAGAGAAGTGGTGCTACGGGCTCTCTTCCACATCAGTGGTGCCTGTGGGCAGCTTGCACTAAACTCCTCCTCCTCTTCTTGCAGACCTCCACCATCGGGGATGTGACCTATGAGCGTGTGAGCAAGAGGCTGGCCTGAGCTGCCACAGCTCCGGGGACTGTCTGGCACCAATAAAGTGGGTCTCCCGGGATCCTTCCCCCAGAACCGCTTTGTCTGTGTCCTAGTTTTTATTTCCTTTTTAAAAAAAGATTTATTTATTTATTCACACAGATCTGGGGTACAAGCCAGAGGTGCAGGGGCTCTGAGAGGCTTCACCAGAGACAGAGTGGGGAGCAGAACAGAAAGGCTGACAAAATACACTGCTGAAGGGAGCAGTGGGCAGGTCATGAGAGGTCTGCCATGGCATGTGGGTCACTTCCGGGGCCGGGGTTCGAACACGCACTCAAGCAGCTGTGGCCAGCCTAACCCGCTGCACCACCAGGGAGGGCCTCTTTGTCCTAGTTTTCCTGACAGCGTAGGAAGCCCTGAGGTTGGCTAACAGGCTGGCCTTGGGCCCTGAGGTCACAGCGGGCTCTATCATGCAGAGGGAGCCCTGTAGGTGTACTCCTGTACCCTAGGAGAGACCAAGTGGGGTCACTAGAAGCACAGGGTGGGAGACACTGCTGTGGTCCTTACCCTACCCTGCCACCAGCATTGTGGTTCTAGAAACCCTCGGTGCTTGAAGCCTCCTTTAAAGAGACAAATGTGACCCAGGAGGGGACATGCTGCCTCTCAGAGGGACATGTGGGCATGCCATCTGTTGCTGGGGCAGGAATGGGTTTCCAGGAAAGGGTCCTCAGCTGCTGGGCCCTGAGGCAGGCCATACAGCACACAGACACACCAGGCCACACCATGGCGGGTGGGTGTATGGCCTGGCCTCTGCTGTTACCCTGCTGTGTTTTCATTCTTTTGGGTCTCAGTTTACCATCGGGTACAAAACAGAGCCAAGAGCACCAGTGAGGGAAATGACCTACTGTGAGGGGCCAAATGGGGCCCAGTGATGGACAGGAGACTCAGAAAGGGGCTATGTTGTCCAGCTGGACAGCGGAGACTAGAAGCTGAAGTGGAGGGGAAAGGTCAGAGGTTGCCTGCAGTCGTGAATAGGGAAAGATTCTGAGGTAGACGTGGGTTAAGGATCTGGCCCTGTCTGATGACCTGGTCTGCCAGAGGTCTAGGGCTGGAGAATGGCGGCCTGCTTGCCCTGGTCAGATAATCCAGAGTGCTGGCCAGATCTGAGTTCACCCACCTTTCCCCAGAGCATCTCTATCTGGCAGGCGCCCTGATCTTTTCCCCCGTATGTGTCTATGACAATTCACTTATTACAATGTCAATGTCACTTCCGTACAGAGTCAACAGAATTGGCTAAACATAGATTAAAACTCCTTATAAAGCCAATGCTGAAAAACAGTGGGTTCTAGCTGGACTGTTGCCAGTGCAAAGCCTGAGCCCAAGGCCCTTTGTGAAAAGACATAGTAGCAGCAAATGAAACGTTGCCTCATGACTCATCACAATTATGCAAGCCTGATGAAAAGAAAGAGGCAGGACTCATACTAAGAGTTAAATTATCTAAATTATCTTGAATACGTAAATCTCACAGGTGAAGTGTAGGAAATATGAGTGCCCAGTGACTGGCACACAGCAGGTGCTTAATAAGTGCTACCTGCCCTCTGCTCCTTCCAGCTGAGTCACCTACAACCTCTCTCTCAGGGTGGTCTTGGAGGGGCCAGCACAGCCCAGGGCACAGCCCAACTCCTACCTTTCTCTTCCCCCACTCTGTCCTGCAACTTGTTTATCTTTCCAAGAACAGCACCAAGCCTCCCCCAACCACCCACCAAGCCAGGACCCTGTGAATTCCATCCTTTTGCCAAGACTTATTGCTAATTAAGTGAACTAGGTAAGCATTAAATGAAACTAGAAGTGTGACTGCTTCTTCTCCAGACTGAATAATTACTTATAATGAGCTTGGATAATAAGTCTCTAAATAACAGAGTTAACCCTAATTAGGCTGAAAATTGAGAGACAGAAAGAGAGGGAATGAGAGGGTGATGTAGGAGGAGGAACAGAAGTTTCCACCTCAGTAACTGATTCAAGGGCAAATCAAATTTAAATTGTTGGCAGGGGAGAAGTTCTTAAATTGGTGGTAGAGTCACAAACACGCTGACTAGCAGAACTTCAGAGCTCACTGGCTTAAATGCTGTATTTCCCAACGATGGAAACTGAAGTTCAGAGAGGGCATAAAACTCATCCAGTGTCACACAGCATAGTGGGTCTCCGAGTCAAATGGCTGATGGAGGCTACAGTTACTCAGTCCAGCTCATGAGGGTAAATGCAGTAAGGTGAGAGTGATGCCTGGTCGGGAGTCTTGCTCAGACAGCAGCAGGGACAGTGCTTAAGAGCTTCAACTCATGGCCACATATGACCTCCCAGCTAGAAGCTGTTTCCTTGGCAGAGATGCCTCCATTTCTCTGAGCTTCTCTTTCTCCACCTGTAAGAGACAGCTGCTGTACTTCCTAATAGTTGTTCTGCAAACTCACTATCTGTCAGCTGCTGGGTCTGTGACTGTCACCTCCATTTCAGCCATCATTCTCAAGCTCATGCCATGAAAGGTGGGCAGAGCCTCCTTGTAGGGCATGTGGGCAAGCTGCTGGGTTTCTCAGTCTTCCCTTGTCCATATGTAATATGGATTATTAGTTTCTGTTCTGGAACTATGGGGGGCATTGCAATGACAAAGGGTAAAAATCTTAAGGATTTTCAACATTTTTCTGTGCTATACAAGTTGTGGTAGTGACTTCCCACTTCATTGACTTCATTTTGGCTTTTACCCCAGGCTTTTCATGAACTTCATCTTGACCTTTGATAGTCTCACTTTTCTCTGCTACAGAAATTTCTGCCTTTAGGCCAAATTCATTGTCCAGTGAAATGGGAGCCTCCCAGTGCATCTTTAAAGACTGCCACTGGCCCTCCCTGGTGGCACAACGGGTTGGAGCGCAGCACTGCAAGATAGCTGCAGCTAACTGTGAGTTCCATCTCCAGATGTGACCCACATGGCGTGGCAGACCTCTCCTGACCCACCCGCTGCTCCCCTCAGCAGTGTACTTCGTCGATCTGCTTGTTCTGCTCCCCACTCTGTCTCTGGTGAATCCTCTCACCACTCCTGCACGTCTGGTCTGTACCCCAGTTCTGTGCACATAAATAAAACAAAATCTTAAAAAAAAAAAAAAAAAGACCGCCACTAGGTAGAACTTCACAATCCACCGGCAGCTGTTTAACCCCGAGGTGTACGTGTGTCCTGATGGGTGGAGAGGGGGCATGCGGCAAAATCCTGGGCAACTGGGCCTTGCACTGGGTTGTAGGTGTCATCTAAGGGTGACAATGCAGAGGTGTCTAAGTCCCACTACTCGCCAAGGTGAGACCTTGGCCTCCGTGAACCTCAGTCCCCTCACCTGGAAAATAATGATATGACTACTAGTGCATGATTTTGTGAGGACAAAATAAAGAGTAGAATTATGAGGGCATGAGGAAAGTCCCAAGTAGGGGACTGAGATACAGTAAGTGCTCACTGAAGAGCTAGGAGGTTCTTGGTGGTTCTACTGGTACACAGAGGCACACCCACGGCCAAGGCCCTAGAGCAGGCCAAGTGTCCAACCCTGGCATTGTACAAGTGACTCCAGGGAGGTCTTGTGAAGAGGAGCAGCCCAAAGCTGTGACACACAAGTTTTTGACATGAAAACTGGAGAACCGTCACCGTGACGTGTTCCCCAGCCAGGCATGACCTTGGAGACTGTTCCAGCCTCTCACTTCCCATTGTGAAGATGAAACATTGAGACAGGAAAGGGAAAGGACCTGCCCATGTCCATACCATAGGGAGGGTGCAGAGGCCTGACTTCCTGTATACAGCTTGTGTCTCTGGCATGAGCAGAGGGCTGAAACACTGGTCAGAGCAGGCCCAGCAGCTCAGAGGCCACCTGAACCCTAAGAGGAGCCCACTTTTTACAACATTCCTCAGATAGCTCACTGCTGAATCATGAAACCATTTATTCCACGCTCTTATAGAAACCTAAAGTATAGCCCAGACTGATAGCCCTTCCACAGAGAGGTGACTTTTCTCAAAGTCACATAGCTAAGAACAGGCAGAGACCGCCCATCTCTCAGACTCATTTATGCTAGACAAGAGTAACCTATAGCATCCTTATTTTTTTACAGTTAATGAGATATTTAAAATATATAATTTTATTATCAGAGGTGTGAAATGTTTATTATGTTTTTAGTTCATACACTCATGTTAATGTTCTTACCTACCTGTATTAAAAAAATAGTAATAGTTTATTTTTACATTATTTTGTGCCTTTTTCCATCTCAGTTGTAATCCCCATGGGCTTCCCACCACCAAATCACCCGTGTGCCATCACTAAAGTCCAGTGCACTTCCCCTCTCCCCCCATTTTTGATCCCATTCCCCATTCCACCCCCTTACAATGCCTCTGGTATATAGTTGTTCATTATTAGTATTATTTCCCCTTGGTCCTTTATACTCCTGTCCTACAGCATACTTTTATTGGTATTTTGTGTTTAAAAATCTGTCTCTACTTTTAAAATTCAACAAAAAGTTACATTTCCTAGAACGTATAGATCTCCAGTCCCTCTGAAATCTGAAGTTTTGGGAACATGGAGCTCCCACCCCTGAAAGGGAGTAACTGGCTGGGGCCTAGCAGCAGCCATGTACCATCAAGCGGACACTGGGCCATCGCAGTCCCCACCCGGTCCCCCAGCTGGGTCACTCACTGTGTCTCCAGCCTGTCTGGTTCTAAGGCGCATTTGGTTTTGAGACTCCTGCCAAGTGCTATAGCCTTTCTGCTGAAACTCATGTTGCAAAAGGGCATCCCTGAGGAAGAGGGAAGGGGATGAATGCGTGCTAGGAAGGTTCTTCCCAGGCTCCTGGAGCATGGGACAGCAGAGACCACAAAGGCAGCTTCCTCCCAGGGGAAGCTCTGGGGAAGCCTAAGCCTGGTCCCAGATCTTCACCTCCACAGATGGGGCTGGGGGACATCCCCCAGTTGGGAGGCTGCTGGAGACAGACAGATGGAGCCGTAAATCATGTTAGCCCACGACAGATGTTCGAGAGGCTGTCTCTGTGTTTCTGCTTGCTGGCAAGCATGCTCAGGGGGCCCTGCCACTCCATAAATCAGGAGCATGCACGCTGGCATGAACCCAGGCATGGGCCCATAGTTGTCTCAGCTTTGCTTGTAATAGCGGGGACACTGAAACAACCTGTCCGCAGAGAACTAGACCAAGAGGAGGTGGTCTAAAACACGGGACGGTGTCATTTACATGTGGCATACAGAGGAAACAAGACAAAAGGTCCCGATGAAGCCAAACAAACTACAAATCCGACTGCCGACTGGGGCAACCAAGGGGGAGGGGTAGGAGGGGCAGAGCAAAGCGACGCAGGGCAAAGGGCTGTGATGGTGGACAACAGATGATCCGGTGTAGCAGTAACCCGAAGGAGGGGATCCTCTACCTCTGAAACACAAGTACTGCAAGAAACGGTCTGCAGATGCTGTCAATTTATTTGAGCTTCAAACTCAATTTGGTTTGAAGTCTCTGAGGAACACAGATTGAATTACAGAATTGGATTTTGCATGACCAGGAAGAAAAGGCTTTTCATAGTCTTATGTTGTTACCTCCTAAAGATCCTTTGATAAAAATTCAAAGTTTGAGGAAAAATGGGAAGAAGGGCCTTCCTGGTGAAGCGAGAGTGGAAGTCTCAGTGTATCAAGCTATCACCAGCCACTGCAGCCCGAGTCCCATCCCCAGCTAGGGAGCTGACCCACAGGGCACAGCAGACCTCTCCTGTCTCACCTGCCGCTCCCCTCATCAGCGTGTTTCAGTATACATCTGTTCTGTTTCTTACTCTGTCTCTGGTGAATCCTCTCACCCCCATACCTCTAGCCTGTACCCCAGTTCTTCTATGAATAAATAAACCTTAATTAAAAAGAAAAAAGGAATAAAGCAAGTCAAAATGACAAAGACATGTATCAGATGTTTACATCATGGATTTGACAAGGCAAAAGTTATATAAACTAGCAAATACTAATAAAGTGAGAGTCCTGGGGGGTGGGGTAAGAAGTCAAAGGGATAAAAGAAAAAAGCTGCTACAGGGTGTGGGCAGCTTCAGGCTCGTTCCTTCTGTCCCTAGGGGAATAGCCTCTCCAAGCACCCAGTGTCCGACCTGTAGAATACAGCTCGTGGTAACTTCTAGCCAGCAGCTACTAGGATGATTCTAAGAACTGTGATAAACAGGTTCCCTGGCATAATGCTATGTACCCGGCAAACACTCAGTTAGCACCACTGTTGTGATTGGGGCCCCCGAGACCAGGTATTATCTATCCTCACTTGGGCAAGGGGCCTGTGGCCACAGCCATCAACCCTAGTAAGCAAAGTAGCAAGCTCACTTTGGATGCTGGGCAGCTATGAAGAAAAGGGGAAGGAGATGAGAGCATCGCCAGATTTATAACCAGAAGGCTAAGGTACAGGAGAAGGCCTTCCACAAAGTGGGCGGGCCTCGTGCAATCAGGGGAAGGCCCTTTGAAGTTTCCTGGAGAAAGAATTTGTCTATGATTGTAACTGAGAAATCCTTCTGAAATTCCAACTTGTCTGGCAGGCTTTGGATTCACCTGCAACATTAACTCTTACCTGAATTTCCAGCCTGCTGGCTTGCCCTACAAATTGCTCACTGCCAGCCCCCATAATTGCACGAGCCAGTGCCTGAAAATTAATCTTCCTTGCTGTACATCTGCTTCTGTTTTTGCGAGAACTCCAACTGTTGGTGGTAGATCTGGGATGTCAATATCCATTCACTCCAGCTGCCCAGTCTGCCTCTCTGAGGCGGCCCCCCTCCACCTCGGAGGGCAGGACCCCACTTTGCTGTCACTATCACCTGTGCACGGGCCACCGGGGCTGACAGGTGGGAAGAGACACCCAGGAAAAGAACTGAGACCACAAGCAGGTGATGTGTTTATTGTGGGGATGCCCTTTTCTGTGAGGCTCTACCAGCCCCTAGTCCCCAAGGAGACAGATACAATAACTTGGAATCCAAACCAGTTGCACATAAATAGAAGGAGGTTGGCAAGGGAAAAAAAGAAAAAAAAAAAAAAAAAAACAGCAAACGGATGTGCAGGTTCCTATGCTAATGTAACCAAGTCACAGAGCCTGCTCCCCACCCAGGCTCTTCCTTCTCCCACCCCCATGCTGGGGCTTCAGCTGTGAGGCAAATCGGCTTCGGATCCTACTCAGCAGCCACTGGCCCGGCTCCACTCCCAACCCTGGGACTGGCAAATAAGTCAAAGAAAGCCAACCTGGGTTTTTCTTAAAAAACAAAAAAAATCCTTCTGTTGTTTTTTGCACCTCCCGATTCTGACGGGTGTCCCCCTGACTCTGAACCAACCCCCCCCCAAAAAAAAAACCACGCAAGCTGAGCGCCAGCCAAGAGACAGAATTACACATATTGCACATGGTTCCCAGAGTCTTCCTGAGAGCCCAATACTGGCTTTCAATCCAACCAATCGCTTGCTGTCAGTGAATTCACAGACCCAAGCACACCCCTATACTTCAAATCCAGCTGGCCTGGAGCCAAGATTCCACACCTTCATCCTCTGCCAGTGGCCCAACTCCAAGCTGAGGCTGGACTGTACCCCTCTCCCTGGCTGTCGGGTAGAGGGAGATGAAGGGTGTGGGTTTTAAGCCTCTGCCTATCAACAACTTTTATCCTCAGGTTACTGAAGTCCCGCAGGTGAACACAGCATCCAAGATGTGGAGACTTCTGGAACTGAGAGCTTGGAAAATGCTTCTCCCCACTACAGGCTTTTGCAGTCACCAGCAGTCAGCCACCAGCAGGGTAAACCCCACAGCCCTCGTGTGGGACGGGCCATGTGACTATCCATGTTTTCTTTCTTTCTCCTACGATTTTCAAGTATCACCAAATCCCTGATGTGGCATGTAAACAAGACCTCTTACTGAGCAGAAAGCTAGGTCACTTCGGGGAGCAGCAGCAAGTGAGCACGTGAAAAGGTTGAGTAAGGTTTTCAGTTGGACAACCATGATGAGACCGAGGCTGAGGCATCACACACAGGCCCTGGGTTTGGAGCCAGGGAGGAGCAGCCGCCCCTGGGGCAGAGCACACGGGCTGCCCCCTGACTCCCAGTGGCAAGGAATAAAGAAACCAGGCATGCTGAAGATCAGGGGGCTGGGTCGGCTCCCAGCCTCCCGGCCTGGCTTCTCACCAGGTCTGGCTGTATCTCTGGGCCTCTACTCCAGAGAGTGGCACCAGCCACCCCTGGCTTCCAGGCTGCACGTGGACAATATCCACAAAGGACATTTCCTGGAGGACATTCTTGGTGAGGTATGTAATGGGCTGTTTTGCTCTGGGTCAGTTTTATTTTAAAAAAGAGCGTGAATCCTCTCCATCCAAGGGTAGTAAGGTTCTGCGGGGACCCCCGCTCCACTGGGGTCCCCCTTCAGTGCTCCCTTATCCTGCCTGGGTGTAGGCCTTCTGCTGGCCCAAAAGTGACCTATCTGTCAAAACAGCCCGTGGGGAAGGTGTGGCTGCCGCTGAAGTAGCTGCTTCCGTAAGTGGTGGCTAGGCAGTGTCTGGGTTCAGTTGTGATGGCCATCTGCATGCCGAGGGATGTGGGGAGCCGCAGGGGACACAAGTCCAGGGGCTGGAGGGCTGGGTACGGGGCATGGAGGGATGAGCCAGCACCCCCTGAGAGCAGGTTCCCAGGACGGTGGACCTGCAGCGAGTCCCGATAGGCCAAACACAGGTCCTGCACTGGGGTCTGGAACTGAGGCAGGGCTGGGGTCGCTGGCTGGCTGAGGGCCGGATAGGCGGGCGGCTGGAACAGCACCTGTGTGGGGGTGGAGGCGTTGCCAGGCACCACCGCCAGGGCCTGGCTCTTGACAGCAACAGCGTCCTTGAGGATGTTGTCGTAAGCTCTGAAAGGAAAGGGCCTGTGTGAGACTTGGAGGTCAACGGCCACAGAACCAGATACTGTGACCACGTCTACTGGCCTGGCTACGTGGGGCCCCAGGAGATCCATGTGCTGTGTTGCTGGGCCTTGCCTGTCACTTCAGCTGTTCTCTGACTAAATGCAGGTCTCTGAGCTCAGCTTCAATCTGCTTCTTCCCAGAGAACCACGTCTGACTTATTCAAGACCAGCCTAGTGTCCTGATGCCACATCACTGCCCCATCTCAGCCGTCACCACCCCTGAAAATAACTTCCAGGTCACTACCTTACCCCAGGGGTGAGTGCAAACTCCAGGAAGGATGATGCCATGTGCTTTGTTTGGTTCACTGCCCCCACTTTCTGACCCTGCACCCAGGATGGACAGGGCAGGTGCCACACCTGTGGACACTCCTGAACGAACCCCAAGTAAGCTGCCCACGAGGGCTTATGTTTCTCTCTCTAAAAGAGGGACGGAATAAGTTTTTTTTTTTCTATTTGAAAAAAAGAAAAAAAGACTTCCAGGATAAAACTTCTTGGAAAAATTAAGAGATTTATACAAGAAAGGAGCAGATGAGGCCGCAGCAGATCTGAGCAGTGAGTCACCACAGAGCCCAGCATGGAGAAGAGGCAGGGTTGTCTGCTTTAGGCCCAAGGAACAGCCAGCAGTCTCACCAGGTAGCTCCTGGCTCTGGGCACCTTCTAAAAGGACATATTTTAAAAGTAGGCCCCAGGAGAGGACTGGCAATTTAGAGGAATGAGACGCAGGCTGCCTGCTGGGGAAAGGTTTTCCCATCAGGGGCTTGCCCAGTGGTCAGTGGGTGGGCACGGCCTGGGTGCAGCTAGGCAGGATCTCCCTGCGGCTCTGCTCCTGGCACGGCTGACTTTCTCCAGGGGCCCAGAGTGCCATCCAGTGTCTTGGGTACATTCAACAACTCTTCCCGGCAGTCACAGGGGCATCTGCATGGCCACTGTGGCCTCCTCTGTTATGCCACCCTGGGTTCAGCTGGCACACATCTTAATGAGTCATCAGTCATCACCACCTAAGACAGGCTGATAACCTGCACCCAGGTGGAGAGCCCAGGCATTTAGAAAGGTGCGGGCATAGGGCCTCCTCTCCCTCACTCTGTGATGCTGAATGCAAGCCCGCAGCTCCCCCAAACAGGAAGGGCCAACTTCCCAAGCCCCAATTCTACCAGGAGTCACCGTGGCCCATTTGCCGTGAGACACTAGCTGGGACTTAGGGAAATTGCCCGAGGTGGGTCTCAAGAGCCAGTGGAACCTCGTAATTTCCGAAGCTTGGAAGGACCAGAGAGGCACTGACACCAGCAGGATTTCCAGGCATGCGCTGAGATGCTCCAGGGAGTAGCTGGAGATCCTCTGAAGGTCTCTGGTCCAGTAGGGAGAGAGCTGAAGGCAAATCCTAGCGGCCCCAACGCAGGCTGCAGCAACCACAGAGGGCTGGAATTTGTAGAAGATATGATCTGCCAGAAAAGCATAGGAGTCAGCATCACAAAGCCTCCCCACACCCTGGAGGTGCTGGGCACCCCCTCACCAGCTTGTAGCCTGAGAACAGAAAGCAATGATGAGGTCAGAGACTGTTCACTGTGCACATGTACACACACACACAGCCCCATTCTTGAAGTTGAAGCACTTTAGCCCTCAGACTGGGCTTTCTGACGTAGCCTAGAGCAGTGAGTTTTAAAATATGGTCCGTGCCAGGAACTGCGAGTGGCTTGCTGGTGGGCTACAGACAACCAGTGAACACCTGCTGTTTCCTTGGTCTCTGGGGTGAATGACTCACTACTTCAAAGGTTCCTGTTCTGGAGTTGGACCAAAGGCTACTTATTAACAGTAACAAAGTCTGACCCACAAGAGACAGTAAAAATCTGTGGAATGAATGAATGAATGGCTCTGAACGTGTGGCATTCATCACTGAAACTGGGCCTTCCTTAGGTTTACTGAGGAACCTTCCCTCCACCCCCAGATTGAATAAAGTATGATTGACATGTAAAGATTGCATACACTTAGGGTGTAATGTGAAATGATCTGGGAAATCTTAATGTCCTACTAAGTGGCCACTAACTCATGGCATCCTGGTGATTACTGTAGTTTTCACGAATGACCCGCGGTTATCAGCACATGACTACATGGTCTTCAATGATTCAATTTCTTTAATGCCTGCCTTTTAAAGTGAGAATCAGGCAGGGTATTGTTATAGTGACAGGCACTGTTAAGGAGAGAAGACACCCCAGGTTCAAATCCTAGCAGTGGGTTGGGGTCAGTGACCTCTTGGGCAATAATGAAGGAAACTGACTGAATGATTGTCATAGTCGTTGTGAGGCTTAGATGAGACAATGCACACAAAGCACTAAAATAAGGTGCCTTGCACACTATAAGCAGGCAATTAACGTTAGATATCACTGCTGCTATCGTTATCAGATTTTGTGCTGGGCTCAGGTAGTAGCGTCAACAATCATCCTGACCAAGCATTTTATTTAATATCTAGGTTTTTACGACACTGGGAAGAATGAAAATCAAAGCTGCCAATAGCGCAGCTTTCTAGCTAGAGTAGGTATAAACATATGATGTATGATGATAGCTCTTCTGGAATCACCTCCTGCAAGTCTGGACTATTGAGAGCATCTGTAATGTTTCGGATAACTGTGAGAATAATCACTAGGTGACCTGTAAGTTTGTAAGGTACCAGTCACATAGTTACACGTTACTGGTAACACTTGTCCTCTGCTCTGCCAAGTGGGGGGTGGGAGATTTGCGTGGATGGGCCTGGATGCACACCCCAACCACGGGGTGGGATGGGTGACAGCTGCTGACATGGAGCCCCACCTTGCAGAGTGACCTCGAGGAAGTAGTGGGCATACTCCTTGAGGCATTCTTTGGTCTTGCGGAGGCAGATGGTGGGCCAGCTATGGCAGTGGAGGTCCTTCTGGCTGACAGAGGCCAAGAGGTAGTAGTCAAGGAAGTGGGCGGGGGTGGGCAGGCAGAGGTTCCAGCAGAAGGCCTCCAGGAGCAGTAGCTCCGTGCTCAGCAGCTCCTGCTTGGTCAGCATGAAGTTCTGGCTGCTCAGGATCCGCGTGCTGTTGATCTGCTCCAGCTTGGGCACATGGTCTTCCCGATCCTCAAACTTACCTGCAGGACAAGCAGAGGTTACTGGGAGACAGTGCTTGCCTGACCCAGGCAAGGAAGGCCCACCTCCAACCATCTGGCAGGTGTTGCAGGGAGCTCGAAAGAACAGAAGCAAGGAGAGTAACAGGACACATTCCGACCTGGGCTCTACCTCCAGCTGTGTGAGCATGCACAGGTGTCTCACCCTCTCTGTGCCTCAGGTCTGTCATCTGAAAATGGGAACGATAGTTTGCAAGACTTCTGTTCAGTTCAGCGAGAAAAAGCATCCCAAATGTTTGGGATGGCAGTGGACACAGAAGTTGCTCAAAGGGGCGTCCAGGCTCAGGGGATAAGGGGGTCCTCTGTGCTCTGCCTCATTCAGCCTCAGGACCAGCCTAGGGGTCAGGCCACAGCGAGAATGAACTTTCAGTGCTAACAGTGTCCCTCCAGATGTGGGAAAATACGTCACCCCCCAGCCCCTAGCCCCAACGTCTTCAATGTTGAACTTAAACCCTGTCTGTAGTTGTGAGTTTGGGTCCCTCAGAAACAGTGTGTGCAACACACACAGTTGGAATATATAACCCTTCATATAACAATCCAGAGCAAGCTATGACCCTGTTTGCCTCCTCTCTGCCTCATGGACCTGCTCTTTAAATGTCTCCTAACTCCCTTCCAGCAGTGAGGCTAAACTCTCCTTTCTAACACTGGTACTCTCCTTTGTGAGTTTCTGGTAAAGCCTTGGGTGGTTCAACTACACTTAACATTCTCTGGTGAATTCTTTCCCTAGAGAGTAAAAGGATCTCCCCCTTTGGCTCGGTCCCTATAACACTGTCAATGTGCCTGGAAGATTAAAAAAATCCTCAACTATCACAGGGCTTAGCCTGGCTGTCTGGGGCCAGGGACAGGTGCGTGAAACCTGAGGAATGTTGGGTATGGTGAACCCTGCACACAGCCTCACAGAGCCTCCCATAGCCCATGGCCGGCACATGGGGTGCTCCTGGCAGGTCACACTGATGAGTGGACAGATGACCATGAGGTTAGCCAAGTGGCCTCGCCTCGAAACCACAACTGGGCCGTGGTGACAAGACACCGCTGACTGCCAGCTCGGCAGGACACTCCCAGTCTGCGTTCTTTCCACAGCTTTCCTCTTTCGTTGGAAATGACTTTGGGGAAGGGAGTGGTAAAATGCACAGAACATAAAATTTCCCATTTCAACTATTTTGACCGCACAGTTCTATATCATTCAGTGCATTCACAATGTTGTGTAACCAATCTCCGGGACATCTTGCAAAATCGAAACTTTGTCCCCAGGAAACAGTTTCAGAGGCCCCAGGCGCTAGTCCCAGCCACCACTATTCTGTCCGCATCCACTAAAGTCTGGCCTTTCTTCTTCCGCCTGCTGTCCTAGCAACCAAGCTTTCAAGCAGACCAAACAGGATTCCTGACTTTTCTGAACTGGGTCCAAAAGAAGCAGTATTTCTCATTGCTTTAAAAAAAAAAAAAAAAGCAACACCAAAATTCTGCATTGAGGAAATCTTTGAATATAACAAAAAAAGAAAAAGAAAAAGAAAAAGAAAGAAGAGAAAAAATGTTATAATGAACCTCTAGGAAGGCAGTCCCCAGTTCTGACAATCAAACTAACCTGCCTTTAGGAAATTTCTTAAACCAAAAGGTAAAGGGCGCAGAACAGGATTCTATATGGTCACTGCTGCCCTATTTTCCATGCTCCGACCCAGGTCCCTCAGTCTACCAGACAGGCTGCGTTACACCGACTCCCG